CAATTAATTTCTCTCCAGCAACCAAAGCAATAGCTTCCTCTCCACTTCACCAATAGCCTTATGGCACACTGGTTGTTCGAAATGTGTTCAAAGTGGCAAAAGGTTTCTCTACATAGGCATTTTCGTGGCTTTACCCATGTGTAATAGACATAAGAACCAGTTTTCCTTAGAAAGGCAACCACGAAGGCATTGTTCGTTTTAGGCAGGTAACTTTACCTTAATTAAACTATTTCGTCACTTCCAAGGTCTCTATCGTAAAGAACTTTTTTTTTCAGTATTCATTTCTAATTTACAATTAAATTTTTAATAAAGAATAATTCCAAGAAAGTTATGCTTTTGTTTTTGGGAGAAAAGGTAAATATTTTATAATTAGTAAAATAGTTGATCTAGCATATACAGCAAAATTGATATTATCAACACATACAACATCACTAGGCATCTTTAATTGTTACAAATATCTCAAAACCGGAGAAAAATAATAAGTTTTGCTCTGATAATTTTTTCCTCAACTTAATTTCTTTTTAATAGTAATACGACAAATTGTACCTTTATATAAACAAATTTCATCCTATTAATATTCAGTTTGTAAATAATTATTTTCTTGCATACAGACTGACTAAAACGTTTTTTAAGATGTTCTTTAGATTCAAATTGTACTCATTATCCTTTATGGCTTCAGACTAATTTATATCTCCACATAAGGGTCAATTCAACAAAACAAAAATATCCATACAAATAAATGACACATAATATAACGTAAAGTTTTATAATGTAACTAGCTGAAACTCTAGTTTAACATAATTTGTTTGTTTTGAGTGCAAAATAAATTTAAAATTTACTGTTTATTTAGAAAACTGCTATATATTAAAATACTATCCTACCTGTAAAAGAATACTTAGATCGTCTACAGATGTGAAGCGACGTTTTCAAGTTTTGTATCTAAGTATTATGAGTAGAACTCACATGATATCATTTCAAAATATAATGTTGAGATGATTCAAATGATACTTAAAGAAAATTGCAAAAACTGTTGTTAAGACAATGACAGTCCTTAAAAATGATAAAATATCTTTGCTTTAGATAACGTGAGCTTCTTACAGAAGGGCTTTATCTGCGGTTTAAACTTATTGAACGTCTTCGAGAGCTCAGGATCTCATTGTTTGCAGTTGTTTCCTTGTCGGTTTCAGTAAACAATCCATATTCTAGATCTTATGCAATCTGAGCAATGAAGTGCCTGCTTGCTTAATTCATCTCCGAGTTTCATTTCAGTATTGTACCGGCTGCTATCTTTCTATAAAGTTTCAAAGTCGAATATTTTCATATATGTGTTTAGAACTACTTTTACTAAGTATTTGAAGCTTCCGTTTGTCATAATTTATATCTTCTTATTCGAATCTGTGGTAGAAGGATGCCCATATACACTAATTATAGAGATTCCTAACTTTTCTCGGTTGATGACAGACTTGATTAAATACCGGAGATCTCATGATGCAATGGCTTGGATTTCGAATTGTATTAATTATTTGATTAATGATATTAATGAATTTTAAATTATTACCATTTGAAATCCTACGACAGAAGTTATAGATCAGGTTTACTAGCTTTGGTCTGTCAGCGAAATATGTTAAAAAATACCGAAGATAGGAGCAATAACTAGATTTTACTTATAACAGAAAAAGCAAAATTTTCATTATTACAGAAAGATTACATTTTGCTCTTATTAATTAAACCTATATTAGATTACTTTGTATATAAGAGCATGATTTCACAGCATCTTACTCCAACGTTTTCGAAAATTGCAATTATGATTTCATCAAAATGCATAGGGTAATTTCTCATATTTTTCTTCCATTTGGCACTCTGAATCTAACCTAGGAAACTCGAAAGCGTTCATAGATATTTAAAAAGCAGTCATTTCATAAACAACACGATGAAATTACAACTATATCAGTTACAGACAGAATTAAATTAATATTTAACGAAAACACATTATGATGTTTTTTTTTAAATTTATTATATTTTGCAAACTTTCGGTAGGAATATGTTGATTTAAACGGCCTTTTACAATTAAAAGTTTATCATGTTTCCTGTATATTCAAATATTTTTAAATATCAAAAAAACTTTATCTTTGTTAGGTTAACTATTCAAGCAGAAACAAATTCTGTGAAACTCTCTTTATGCAACAAAGCGCATTTGTATCTCGCAACAAAACATAAAATCATTAATTATTAAAAACTGCAGTTACTGAATGTCATGCCTCGCGCTCGTTCAAACACGAGGTGGGTTCTTCTGTGTAAACTTACCATAGTGGGAAAATAACAGTTGTCCGCTTTGACCTTTTCTTCACTAATTTATTACACAAACTGCACTATGGATACACCATACAACGAGTACACTGTAACATAAACTATATACAATATATATACAAGGCGCGCAAAAGAAATTAAAACATATTTCTTTTCTCTACGTTCTCACACGGCATGCTCGCCGGTCCCAAACTCCCAGTGCCCTCCCCGTCCAGTCTTTCCCCCCCCCCACCAGCCTGCCTCGACCGGTTTTTCCGGGGTAAGTCACTTCCGTTCTTCGTCTTTCATCAGGGGAAGGAACTTCACACCTCCCCTCTGGTTTGTAAATATTTACGACTGAGTCGAAAAATTTGAAACCCATATTATTTTGGCACTTACCAGGTAGTCCCTCTTTTCCGGGACACAGCACAAGGAATCACAGTAAAATCAGAGAGCAAAAAAAAAAGGGTCATGCTACAGTTATAAACACTAACACAAAAAAGAACACTTAAAACACATAAACATAAAAACTGCACATGTCCAAATTTCTATAGCGATACAAACTAAACATTGCAATATCAACTCACTGACACTTCTGTAAGGAATTATTCGTTTACTAATATACCCTAATAACACCATCTTTTCTAGAGTAAATGTAACCACAATAATACAAACAATAATACAAACCACAATAATACAAAAAAAATAATAAATGAAAATTACAATATCTATATACTTTTTGCCATAATAGCATTGAACATTATCCTTTCTAGTGTTACAATAATAACAACAACACAACACACAAAAAAAAAACAAAAAAACCAAAAACCAAAAAAAAAAAAAAAAAAAAAAAAAAAAAAAATAATATATATATGATACCAAACATTAGCTTTCGTTTTTTTTCCAATTTTAGTTCAGATCTATTGTTGTTCACTTATACATTCGTGAGGGATCCTAGACAATGCGTCTGCATCGGAGTTTTTAGCTCCTGGTTTATGCATTACAGTGACTTGGAAGCGGGATAGAGCTAATGCCCATCTCTGCATTCCGGGGTATCCCTTCGGTTAAGTACTTTAATGGGTTATGGTCTGTATGCAATAAAATTTTATTTCCGTATGTCCAAGTTTCGAACTTGTTCGAGATGCCCAAATAATTGCATACGCTTCTTCTTTCTATGGTACTTCCATTTAGACTGAGCGCTAGTTAATTTTCTGGCTAGCAAATGTTATCGGTCTAGCTTTCTCCCATATCTCATCTCGTTGAAGTAAACACGCTCCAATACCTATTAAGTGAGGCGTCTGTGTTAATTTCAAAAGGTTTCCGTAATCCGGGTATATACATAAATCCGTACATATATCCGTATTTAAGATAAGTACATATATACCGTATAACATAAAGTACATATATACGTAATTATTATATTATAAAGCCGTGCCACACAATGCATCCTTTAATTCTTTGAATGCCTTCTCGGCTTCAGACCCCCAAGGTATATCATTAGGGTATAGATTTTTCTCGTGAGATCAGTTAACGGCCTAGCTATTTTTGCATAATTCGGAACATACTCTCGATAGTAATTATATAAACCCAAAACTGATCTTAATGCCTTTTTGGTTCTAGGTGGCTTCAAATTTTTAATGACCTGCAATTTCTCTGGATCTGGGCCATGTCTGCCTGAGCCTACTATGTGACCTAAATACTTTACCTCCGACTTGCCAAAAGAGCATTTCTTTAAATTAGCCGTAAAGTTCAATGTCTGTAAAGTACTGAGTACGGTTCTTAAATGTTTAAGATGTTCTTCCCACGTTGACGAATAGACAATTATATCATCGATGAAACTTTCAGCATAATCACTATGTGGTCTAAGAGCTTGATTCATAACTCTTTGGAAGTTGTGGCAGCACCTGACAAAACCGAACGGCATCACTTTCCACTGATACTGACCCTTCGGAGAAACAAAACTCGTCAGATGTCTACTTTCCTTCTCCATAGGGATTTCCCATACCCCTTAAGAATATCTAGCGTAGACAAATAACGTGCTGCCCCTGCCTTATATCGAAGCTCTTCTGCGTTTTTGCATAGGAAATGGGACAATCTGACTTTCCGCATTAAGCCCTCGATAATCACAACATAAACGTATGCTTCCGTCCCGTTTCGCTACACACCACAATAGGGTAAGCAATCTCTGCTGTGGAAGGTTCAATTAAACCTCTTTCTAACAAATCAGCAATTTGCTTTTTCCACCTGTGGCTTCAACGCCTCAGGTACCTTATAAACATGAGGTTGCTTTCTTTCAACTCCCGTTTTTTAACCTGATACTGTGGGATCCTACCTTCGCACATTTAATCTCCCCTGTCAAACACTACATGGAAAGATTTGATTAATTCTGCTCAACTGACCCCTTTGTGACCTATCTAAATGTTTCCATTCCATCTGAAACATAAGATTCCTATCTAAAAGTTTTGTCTACTTTAGGGTTTCTTTGAATAGGCGCGTGCTGCACCTTCCCAAATTCTGTGTCAGCCTCATAGATTATCCCCTACTGCATTTATAGGCTGTATATATTTCCGTAACTTATTTTTGATGCAAATGTCTAACAGATTCATCTGGCAATTTTACCAAATATGAATGTGGAGACTTTTCGCAACTATTTCTCCAGGTCCTGTCCATTTCGAGCAAAGTTTATTTGTTGACGTTGGTATCAGTACTACTACCTCATCTCCTATCTCGAATTCCCTTTCCTTAGACCTCAAATTATGATGATGAACATATTTCTGCTGCTTAGCTTCCGAATTTTCTTTAGCGAATTTCTCCGCATCCTGTAACCTATTTCGAAGAGAAATTAAATATTCAGTAACGGATTCCCCAACTCCTTGAGGTAATACCGTCTCATCTACCCAACTCGATTTAAGTATCGCCAGTGGCCCCACTGGCACCCGACCATACATTCAGCAAAAATGGTGAGACTCCGGTAGTTGAATTTCGGTATCTCCCTATAAGCAAGCCTATTAACAAATATGGTAGCTGCTTATCCCAGTTTCTTCCTTCGAGTATTTATCACGTGATGCAACATTGACTTCATTGTTCCTAATCCACCTTTCCACTAGCCCTGTTTGACTGCGGATAATCCTGGCGTAGAAAATTTTGGCGAGGGCCCCTAACCTAGTTAAAAACTCATGTGTTAGCTTAGCCTTTAAAGTTTCGTTCCTGTTATCCATGGCTGATCATTCTCGGAAGCTCCTGTTCGCATGAAAATTTCAATGAAAGCGTCACAGGTAGCCTTTCGCTGTCACCGCCTTTAGTGGAATTGCCTCTGGCCATCTGCTATGTTGATCAACAACACATAACACATGTTGGTGCCCTCTAGAATATTTCGGTTTAATCGGCCCTAAACGTCCGCATAACCACTTGGAATAGAAGTTCTGGCCTCCCTACTGCTGTAATTGGAGCCCTATCCTTCACTTTAACTTTCCTTCGTAGCTGGCATTCCTTGCAAGCTTCACACCACTTCCGCACCTCCTTTGACAATCCTTCCCACCAAAACGACATTTTAATCCTTTCCGCCGTCTTCTTTGCTGCGAAGTGCCCCCCTTGTAAGCTTTCGTGAGCCAACTTCACAATTTCTTTCCTGCGGCTTTGAGGAACAACTAACTGACTACATCGCTGCCCATTGACACTTCCCGTGTGGTACAAAATTCCTGACTCCAGCCAATACCCATTCTTGTTATTACGTGCATCCATGAACGCGCTTTCCAGCGAAATACATTCCGCTTGCTCCTGTCTAAAATGTTGAGTTTGCGATAAGGGTGGGTTATCAGCTGACACTTGCTCACTGCCTCCCACTTCTACTTCCCCCTCATCTTTACTCCTTACCAACGGCGTAGTACAAGCTATTTCCGTTTCACCTTCGACCTCGTGACTGGCTTTTTCCGTCGATTCCTTTCCGTCCAAGTTATTCGATACATGACCATCTTTTGTCATCTTCCTTGCTTTCGTGACTTATTTCCTTCATTTAAACCACGTTCACTCAAATCACTTTTTACGATCTTACTTCCTTCGTATTTTTGGTGATTTCTTTTTTCCCACTATCCTGTACGACTGCGACATTTGTCATGCCTCGCGCTCGTTCAAACACGAGGTGGGTTCTTCTGTGTAAACTTACCATAGTGGGAAAATAACAGTTGTCCGCTTTGACCTTTTCTTCACTAATTTATTACACAAACTGCACTATGGATACACCATACAACGAGTACACTGTAACATAAACTATATACAATATATATATACAAGGCGCGCAAAGAAAATTAAAACATATTTCTTTTCTCTACGTTTCTCACACGGCATGCTCGCCGGTCCAACTCCCAGTGCCCTCCCCGTCCAGTCTTTTTCCCCCCCCCCCCACCAGCCTGCCTCGACCGGTTTTTCCGGGGTAAGTCACTTCCGTTCTTCGTCTTTCATCAGGGGAAGGAACTTCACACTGAATATTATTATTATAAAATGTTTATGAAAACGTTTGCCCTTGAGATGAATAGTTGCTTATTTATAAGTAAAAGGACCTTCCTAATATGCACATAGCTGCATTTTCGTAGAATAATAGAATCTACTTCTACTATCAGAAATGATGATTCATCTTTTAAATTATGTAAATGATAATTCATGTCTTCTCCTCATAGCATAAATCAACTAAGTCTGAAGTTAAGCCTCGCTAATAACGTTTATGTTGTAGGGATATATATTTATTTTGACTAACCAGTTAAGTTTACGTTTATGCCTCTCTTTCCTATAAGCCCTCATTCCCCTAATTGACAACGCCAGAATATGTAAATTTGGTAGCGCGTGTGAAAGAATGGAATTTATACCAGTAGAAGAATAAGGTTTAAATTCTGAGCTCTAGAAGGGAAATTTTGAAAAAGTATTGTTAGCTGTAGCGTGAGCTTCTGATTCTATATTTATTGCTGGTTAAAGTGGCCTAACTGCTATTATTCTGCTGCCAGTAGACGACGCGGATTTAGATAACAGGATTATCTGAACCCTGGGGAAAATTTCTACTGTTTGGTTAATATCTTATAACTGAATAACTGAATTTAATAACTTGAATTTAATATTTAATAATAATTAAACTTAATAACTGAATTTTCAGTTTAGTTCTTGTTAGTTGAGTTACCACACGAGCGAGGCGTAGTTCGTTAGCGTCAAGTCGTCGCATTGTGAATTTTAAAGAATCTGATAAAGTGTTTTTTTTCACCCTTTTCCTGTCTGGTTCCTGTACATAATTTAGCAGTCACACTAAAAGTTTAGCAACTAGATACTACAATGTAATAACATTATGGTTACGTAGTTATCATCAGTCTTTCCATAAATACATGAGTATGATAATACATGATATTAAATGAGGCACAGAATGAAAGACATAAAGGAATTGTAAATAATTGACCTCAAATGAAATATTTTGTACAATGTTTTAAAAGTTACACATTTTTGCCAACAGAAACAATTTAGTACTGAAACTTCGCTAACAGTACCCAAATTCGAGCTCTAGAAAATTCGAAAATTCCTTCATCTTGATCAACTTTTGAAGTGCTGAACTCTTCCCCACTCACACCCTTCCTTTCTACTCTGAACACTTCACTCGTTAATGTAAACGTCATAAATTAAATGTTGAAGTATTCGTACTATTTTCCGATCGTTACATCTCAATCATCTTTCATAGATATTATATATGAAAGCATTATAATAGTTAATTAAAATATAAGAAAGCTTTATTTTATGAAATATATTCATTACAAATTTATTTAACAGAAGAAATCATAACAAAAATGTATTTGCGCAAAGTAATATCAGATTACTGTTAATGCTTTCGAGAGCATTCTTATGTATCGAAGTAAGGAAACAAGTAAAGCAAGGAAAAGGTATTCATCTAAGCAGCAATATAATATAAAATTACAGGAAATTTAGAACAAAAGCTTTCATCGGTATGGATTTTGTCGAAAAGTGTAACCTCATACTTTTTCTTTTTCTTTTCTTTCTTTCTTCTTTCTTTCTTTTTTTTTTTTTAAGAAACAACAACAAAAAAAAAAAAAAAAAAAAAAAAAAAAAAAAAAAATGTTATTAAGCATGATAATAGGAATTTTATTCTTCTAATTTTAGATTTTTGAAAAGTTATTTTTGAAAAGTTTTTTGAAAACTTATTATATTATATTAACTTATTATATTACTTATTATATTATCATATATATTATATATTATATTTTTTTAATCTGCAAGGCAGAGATCAGAATGCTTTCGGAAAGTGCTTCATAAAAAGTACCCCACTAATGCTAGAACTGTTGCACCCTTTTGAAAGATAAATTTGCAAGCTGCAGATGATATGTAACAATGTTTCTAGATTTTTGACAGGTTATTTATTAACGAAGCAATAAATTGACATATACTATTAAATTTGAGCACATGTACATACTATTAAAAAATTTTTGATTTACAGATAATTAAACTTTGTATTTTACCCATATTTAGAAAATATGATTTTTTTAAATTTTTAAAATGCACAAATTAATAATAATTTACATTATATTATTTTGAATTTTAAAGTTTATGCTTTATAATTTAAAAAACAAAGTTTTAAATATTAATTATTAATTTAGTGGATAATATTTTTTTAAGTGTTAAGAAAAATCTAATGTTTAAATTTCATGTATTCATTTCAATAAATATTTATACCAAATTTATATTCTTGCTTTAGACACATTTATTTTAGGTTAATACGTTCAGATGAAATAATGGAAAATAACAAACTGAGTCTTGTGAGGAGCCCAAATTTTTATAAAGGCAAAATTAGCCCATTCTCATTCAAAAATTAAAGCTGATAAACTTTGGGGAAAACTTAGGACATCATGTCTGAAAGCTCTCATTTCACGACGTTTCATTCACGTCGACAGATTGCTATGATGCGACGGCAAAACTTTTGTGTCCAATACGTCGTAAAAGTTACCACGACCTCATTGCAACCAGTTGGTTTATGTTGCTACCTCTTTACTGCGCCTTTGTGTTATATAGAAAAGGAAAAGAGAAGCAGTAAAAGGAAGAGAGAAGCAATGATCGCAAGCGCTCCGGGATGCGAAGTGGCAGACCCAATAGAGAGTTAAACGTTATGCTACGTATGTTAAACGAACATCGCTTGTTCCCAAAAGAGAATTGGGTGCAATATTTACGTTACGCAATATTCAAAGAAGATAAATAAGCTGTATAGTAGGTATCCAGGAATCTGAGTGAAAATAATTTGCTGTTTATATCTTGGTACGGTATATCTGAAGAGTAAAGTAACTGCAGAGTTAAAATCGTAATTTTCTGTAAGAAATGTCAACATTGTTACTGCTTCAACAATCTGGAAGTTCAAGGTATGATACGACCAAATATGAATTCCATTGAAGATTGCTGGAAAACAGTGAAAGAATTCAGCCTAAATACTTAGGAGATAGCTTGGAGCTTTAAACCAAATGCGACAACAAGTTTATTTTTCAGGAATGTATATATTTTTACGTTTCAGTAACTTAACATTGTATAAGTGCATTTATGTTTATATATGCCACAGTATCTTTCTTCTTATGAAAATATACATGTACATAAAACACACATGCATAACTTCATTAGAGTGTAATTAATATTTTTAACATCTTTCTAAACTTATAAATATTATAAAATTAAGAAAAAAAGTTTAAAAAAGGTGTATTTCTTTACTATTATAATTTTCAAAAGGAAGACATCATTTTTAAAATGCTTTAAGAAGAAAATTATACTACAAATAAAACAGATGCTAGACGTGTGTACTT